ATATATAAATATATATATATATATATATACATATTTATATATATTGAAGATTGCAGGCCGCCAGAAGAGGAAAGGGTTAAATTCATCAAACGAATGCCTTTGTATACATACACATATAAATATATATATATATATATATTTATATATATTTATATATAATATACAGTATATATAGATATATTTATATGTAAATACATCTGCATATATATACATATATATTGTATATATATATGTTGTACATTTATTTATTTATTTATTTATTTATTTATTTATTTATTTATTTACATTCATTTGTATTTCTATGCACACGTAGTGACTGGCATACAAATATATATATATAAATATATATATTTATATATTTATTTATTTATATTTATATTTATGTTTATATATATATATATTTATATTTATGTTTATATATTATATATATGTATGATTGGGTGTATATATGTTTATATGTTTACGTCTTTACAGAATAATAGATATGTAAAAGCCCCATATATCTCCATCATCTTTATAACTGCATGCATGCGCCGACTCCATGCATGCATGCATGCATGCATGCACACAAACCTTAAGAACTCCATGCATGCATGCATGCATGCAGCTCCTCTATGTTTGCATGCATGCATGCATGCAGTTCACGCGTATATACCGAAGAACTCCATGCATGCATGCATGCATGCATGCATGCAAGTTTTTCTTAAGTGCATGCAAGCCGATGTGGATGCATGCATGTCGGGGCTTTGTCTAGGGCTGCATGAAGCAATACAACAAAAGGCATCTACTTCCAGTACATTGTTATTCTGTTGCTTCTGCTGTTGCTGCTGCTGTCCTTGCTGCTGCTGCTGTCCTTGCTGCTGCTGCTGTTGGTGGTCTTGCTGCTGCTGCTGTGGTGGTGCAGGAGCTGCTGGTGCTGTACGATTTGCTGCTACAGCAGGATTTGCTGCTGCAGCAGGATTTGCTGCTTCAGCAGGATTTGCTGCTGCATCATAATTAGCTGCTGCAGCCGTATTTGTTGCTGCAGCAGCTACATTAGCTGCTGCATCTGCACCACGATTTGCTGCTGCTGCTGCATAACAATAATAATAATAATAATTATTATTATTATTATAATTATTTAGAAGGTGCTGAGAGCATCCATAGAGCTGCATTAACAACATCAGACTCCTTGACTATCGTCGCCTCTTCTAGTTCTCTTGCATAAGGCGTTGGGATATCCTTAGTAGACAGACGCACAGGGGGTAAGACTAAATCTTCATAGCAGTTCTCTACGACCTGAACAATAAACAAATACACTATTCAACGGTTTAGGGTTTAGGGTTTAGGGTTTAGAATGGTGGAAGAGATGAGTTCGATAGGGTTTGAGTATAGAGATGCACATGCATGTAAAAATATATCTATCACTCAACTTATAAATTATTATATTTATATTGTTATATACATACATAAATATTCATATATATTTATTTACTTTATATTACATATAGAAGCATATATATATATATATAAACATATATAATATATGCATATAAAGAAATATACAGCTGTATACCCAAAACCCTAAACCCCAACCCCCCAACCCTAAACCCTAAACCCTAAACCCTAAACCCTAAACCCCAACCCCAACCCCCAAACCCCAAACCCTAAACCCTAAACCCTAAACCCTAAACCCTGAGACGTGGATATACACCTGAGTGAAGATTTCTCCTCCAATACCTCCTGTCCTGCTAGATTCATCGAGTATAAGACACCTTCGAGTCTTTTTAATGCTTTGTTTGATAGTCTGAATATCAATAGGCTTTAAAGAGATAAGATCCACGACTTCTATATTTATATTCATATTCTTGCTTAATATGTTTGCTGCATTTAAAGCAACATGTCTTAGTTTACTATAACATAAAACTGTTATGTCGCTGCCTTCTCTAGCTATCTCTGCTTTATATAAAGATTGAGTATACGGTAATAAAGGTATTTCTTCTGTTATACCGTATGTCAAAACATGTTCTAAGAAAACAACAGGATTATCCTCTCGTATTGCTGACTTCAGCAGCCCTCGCGCATTCTTCGGGGTGCTGCATGCAACTATTTTCAAACCAGGAACAGCCTGTAAACACACCACAAACCCTAAACCCTAAACCCTAAACCCTAAACCCTAAACCCTAAACCCTAAACCCTAATCAACACTCATTAACCCTCATTAAACATAATTGACCCTTTTAAACAATAATTAACAATTTTAAACCCTAATAAACCCTATTAAACCCTAATAAACCCTAATTAATCCTAATAAACCTTAATAAACCCTAATAAACCCTTGTAAACCCTTGTAAACCCTCATAAACCCCGGCAAATATACACGAATACACCCCATTATAAACCCTAATAAACCCTAATAAACCCTAATAAACCCTAATAAACCCTATGAATGCTGTAAGGACTGCAGATACAATAAACCCCCGGTGAAGTAGAATCGAGCTAAGTGCCTCTGTTTAGGGTTTAGGGTTTAGGGTTTACAAGGTGGTAAGCTTCGATTCTTTGGGAGTGTGCAGACCCCAGCATAAACTAACAATCCAGTGTAATACTTAGTGTTTAGGGTTTAGGGTTTAGGGTTTAGGGTTTACGAGTAGGTAAGCTTCGATTCTTTGAGAGTGTTCGGGGCCGAGTTGTTTGCCTACGCCTCCGGGTCCTCTGATAACGAGGGGTACATTAAATTGGCCCCCGCTCGTTGCTCTGATCATCCCTGCATTGTTAGAAATCTGATTAAACCCTAGCAATAGAAACCCTATATTCATGCCTTCAACAATAGGGCGTAGACCATGCATAGCAGCACCGACACCTAAACCTAAAAACGTATTTTCACATATTGGGGTGTCTAGGCACCTAAAATTTCCGAAGTAATAATGTAAATCTTTTGTAGCTTTGTATGAACCCCCGTAATGTCCTACATCTTCTCCTGCATGCACCATCATCAAATATAAACCCTAAACCCTAATGCGCATGCACCATCATCTAATATAAACCCTAAACCCTAATGGGCATGCACCATCATCAAATATAAACCCTAAACCCTAATGATAATTCAAAGAGAGAATAAACCCTTATTCTTCTAAACCCTAATAACCCTAAACCATGAAGAAGGGGTGGTCATGGATATCATATGGATGATAAACCCTTAAACCCTTAACTATTTTAACCCTAAACCCTAAACCCTAAACCCTGCATGTGCAGAGATGCATGTGCTTTGAATTGAGGGTTTAGGGTTTAGGGTTTGTATATATCCCTTCCTTCAGATCCCTATAACTCCCCATTAACCCCCTTCCTTATCTACGGTTTAGGGTTTTTTAAGGGCTGTTTAGGGTTTAGGGTTTAGGGTTTAGGGTTTACCTATAACGCAAACCCTCGGGTCTCGCTGCATCTCCTCAGCCATCGCCATATGCAAAGCCTGATAAAGAGACCTCTTAACTTTCCACTCCTTTACACTCTTCCCATTGACATATTCTCCAGACACCACGGCTTCGACCTGCGTATACACCCCAAAACCCTAAACCCTAAACCCTAAACCCTAAACCCTATGGGCGGTAGACGAGACATGAATATCAAATACCTTAAACCTTAAAACGTAGAAACTAAAGTATGTGTGTGTCTTTCAGCGTGCATTATTTGTTCGGGTTGTGCTCATTAGGGTTTAGGGTTTAGGGTTTAGGGTTTACTGGGTTCTGTTGAGCTTTGAGGGTTTGAAGGGTTTTGCTGCTCTTGAGCAGAGAAGGTGAGAGAGGACGTGGGGGTAAATATGAAGAAGAAGAAGAAGCATTAAACTCTTTATTTATTCTATAAGCAGCAGCTTCATGATATGTAAAAAATAAGAGCAGCAATAACAAAAAAATATAAACATAGACATAACTATGCAAACCCCGCATCGTTGATTAAATAGAAGAAGAGTTTTTTTTCAGCAGCTACAGTCTTAAGGGTTTAGATAAACACACAAAAATAAAACACTTAATCCCTCCCAAACCCTAAACCCTAAACCCTAAACCCTAAACCCTAAACCCTAAAACGCGAGACACACACACACCAGTCTAGTAACAGGGCAGCAGCAACTGGAGAGACAGACAAAGAGAGAGGCTTACAAACCTAAAATATATTTTATAAACAAAAAAACATTTATTTAATTCTCAATTCCATCTTCAAACCCTAAACCCTAAACCCTAAACCCTAAACCCTAAACCCTAGCTGGAGTTGTCGGCTGCTGCTCCAGCAGCCGCAAGCCTCAGCAAGCCCTAAGACCGGTGTCTGTTTCTCTATCTTCTTTTTCTTGTTTTTTATTTCTTTTTAAAATAATATAAATACTTTACTTTGTTAGATTTATTTGTTTTTTTAATGCATTCTTCAGGTGTACGTACATTGATTAAAAGATACAGATAGGGGCTTCATTTGAACAGCAGATTAATCTGCATGCATTAAATTCATTTATTTCTTTTCTTTTTGTTTATTTTATTCAAACAAAATAATTAAAAGCTTCACATGCATACTCATTAAACATAGTTAGGGTGTAATGCAGAGCCGCCTCCTGCTATCAAGCATGTGGGGTGTACAGGCAGCTCTCTAATTCATTTCCTTTGAATTTTATTTTGTATATTTTTATTTTTTGTTTATTTTAGAGCATTAAACTACATCTCCATTGCAAAAAAGTAAGAAGACATTCTCATACGGGGGGTCTACCTCTAGCTAGCTGAGCGGCTAGCTAGCTAGCTAGCTAGCTAGCTAGCCGCTCAGCTAGCTAGCTATAGGTAGCTTGAAATACAGCTAAATCAGGAGGAGAAAAGGTATAAGAATGATATCAATAGATATTGGGGCTTGTAAAAATAAAAAGTAAATAAAACAAACGGCAGCAACAGAGAAGTGTAAGAAGAATGCATGAAAAGAGGTTTAATCTTTGTTTATTTAATATTTGTTTATTTAATATTTGTTTATTTAATCTTTGTTTATTCTATTTAAACTGCATACAGAAAAGCAATAAAATAAACTACAAAGACAGCACTTTAAAACCGCATGCATGCATGCATCAAACAAACAAACAAAACGCAAAATCAACTCATACAACAGCTCTCTATCATATAGACTATTATTTATTATTTATTATTTATTATTTTTATTTATTATTTATTATTTATTATTTCTATATCTTTTGTATGTTCATTTATTGCTGGGCCTAGGCGACATGCGTCACGAAGGGTTATATATATATATATAACTAAATATATATATATATATATAGATATATATATATACAAGTATATTATCATAAGAACAAATAATAAGATTATAATTCCTTACATTTCTCTCTATTTCTGCAGCTAGGCTTTGCTGCATTAGATATTCAGATATAAGCTGTCTTATTATGTTTTGGGGCTTTAAGATTTAAAGCGATCTGTGCATGCACTCTATTGAGGTGTACGTGCAGGGAAGCAATGAGGGGTTTACTTACGAAGAAGTAAATACTTCTTTTCTTCTTTTGTTTCAAGGATGCAGGGTTGTCTATATATATATAAATATATATATATATATTTATATGCATATATATATATAGACAACCCTGCATACTTGAAACAAACAAATATATATATATATATATATCTGTACATATATATGTATATGTATATATATATATATACACATATAGATGTAAATGTATATATATATATATATACATGTTTACATATATATATATATATAGGAGCGAGTTTCTTTGAATTTGTTTGTATTTAATTAGAGTATTTTTGCTTCAGTATGAAGTTATATCTCTTACTGCGTTTACATATACACCTCAAACATAATAAAAAGAAAGTAGAAGGGCAGCGCTCTAATCTGAGTCTGTCTGTCTTGGGCAGCAAGACACAAAGAAGGAAATACATTAAAATATATTTATCAGTTTTTATTATTTTATTTACTATATTATTATATGATTTTATTTAATATATTTTATTGCATGCATGCATGCATGCAGCCCCAAAGCATAATAAGGCTGAGGGAGAGGAGAGAGAGACAGCAGCGCTCTTCTTTGTCTCTAACACAGTAATAAATCTTTAAATGCATGCATGGCGAGCACCACCAGCAGCTGTCGCAGCAGCTGCTGCAGCAGCTGCTGGGAAGCAACGGAAGCTGCTGCTGCTGCAGCAGCACCACTGCAGGCAGCAAAAGTAGCAGGATGTGCAGCAGCAGCAGCAGCTGCTGCTGCTGCTGACAAACAATACATGCAGTTACTATTGATGTGTTTCTCCTTACCTTGCACACTCCCTGCTAAAACATAAAATATTTTCTTATACAACACTGAGACAGATTATAAACACATAGTTAATTATTTAATATTTATAAATCTGTATATGTACATACTATATATGCATATATATACATGTATAAATATATATATATATATATATATTTATACATACACATATATATATATGTCTACATATATACCTAATATATATACATATATATATACATGTATATGTATTGGGTATATTACCGGTGTTATAAAGACATTAACAAACTGTGCACAACCTGCAACATCTGAACAAAATAAAACGCTTTAATAAGAACGCCGCCTTCTTAAATGTATACATATATAAATAAATATATTTATATATATATATATATTTACATATATATATATATTTATATCTACATGTATATATTTACATATATATACATATATATATTTATATTTACATATATATATGTAAATATAAATATAAATATAAATATAAATATAAATGTATATATATATATATATATATATATATATAACTAACAAAAATATCTTTTTGATATGCTGCGCTCGTAGCAGCGGCACGGTGGAGCAGTGCAGCGGTGTATGCGGAGAGAAAGAAACGATTTTACTCTTTAAATATATTTAATTATAAATTATATTTAATTATATTTATAATAAACTTGAGAATAAAGACAATGAGGTTGTTATGAATTAAAGTCTTAACGCATATTTCAGGTGTACATACACCGCAGCCCTCGTGCTGGGGTTTAGGGTTTAAGGTTTAGCGCATGCAAGCTAGAAATATTGTTGAAATGCGTTAAAAATAGAGAAAAAATATAATAAATAAAATAAATAACAAGATATTTTATATAAAAATAGGCAGAATTATATACAGAACCACCTTTGAGAGATGAAAGCAGCAACAGCAGCAAATAATTGAAAGGGAGGAGTTTTAGGGTGTAAACTGAGGGTTTTTGAGGTAAATTAAATAATATTGAGTAGATAAATATATTTAAAATATTTTTAAATATTTTTAAAATACTTTTAAACGTATATTAGACATAAATACCGACGAGACATCGGGTTGCTAGCCGCCTCTGCAGCCGCTGCTCCAACACAACTCACAGCTGCAAACATTTTGGGGTTTTCTATGAAAAATATTCTATTATTATTCTTTTAAAAGAATATTTATAAACATTTTAATCTAATAAACCCTAAAATATTTAAATTTCTCCTTTAATTTCTCTGTTTTCACCCCCCTATACTGCACAAACTCAACTGGTGCTTGCAGATTATGCTGCTGAGGTGTATATACACCTCAGCCTCTTTCAATCTTTTCTATTTTATTATTTCACATTTAATACAAAAATAAAAGAGTTTTTAAAGCTTTTTAATGCAATTTCATCGTGCACAGCCACGCTCTCAGCAACAGCGAGAGGACGAGAGCCCCCAGGAGCTGCTGAAGGACCGAGGGTTTAGGGTTTAGGGTTTAGGGTTTAGGGTTTAGATTTGTTTTTGTTGTTTTTTCTTCCTTTTTGATAAAGTATTTAGGGGTATAGTTGAAGGGTTTTGCAGCTTGAGTGGCGTCTCTCTAAACCCTCTAAATACATATTATCTTTTCTAGTTGTATATTTATTATTAATATATTTACTTTCTTTTTTTTTAACTCAGCTGTACATACACCTCAGCTTCTTCTTTAATCAGAGATGAAGCAGAAAGAAAGAAATATTTATTTATTATTTCTTTTTGTTATTTTCTGTCTTGCCTCCTCTCCTTCTTCATCTTCACCTTCTACACATGAGCCGTTTGCTTTCTATCAATTACTAAAACTAAATAAGTATGCAAGTATAATACTTTATAATATAATATAATATAATATAATATAACACAATATAATATAATATTATATAATATAATCTAAAATAATATAATATTATAATCATATTATATTACATTACATGGCTTATGTTTTATTATTTATGGTTTAGGGTTTAGGGTTTAGGGTTTAGGGTTTAGGGTTTAGGGTTTGGTGTGTATGACCAGGGGTGCGTCTGAAAGCGAAGTTCGTCGCGCTTATCGTCGGCTGTCTTTGGAGTATCATCCAGACAGAGTGCACGGAAAGGAAGGAGACAGAAAGAAAGCTGAAGAGACATTTAAATTAATTAATAAAGCATATCAGGTTTTATCGAGTAAGACAATGCTTTTGTTTTAATAACTGCCTTTAATTCTTTAACTTGTCTCTTCGTCTTCTCTACTGTCTCTTTAGCTGTCTCTCCATCTATCTCTTTATCTGTCTCCTTAGCTGTCTCCTTAGCTGTCTCTTTAGCTGTCTCTTCATCTGTCTCCTTAGCTGTCTCTTCAGCTGTCTCTTCATCTGTCTCTTTAGCTGTCTCTTCATCTGTCTATTTAGCTGTCTCTTTAGCTGTCTCTTTAGCTGTCTCCTTTATTCTTCTTTGTTTTTCTGTCTGTCTCTTTATATATATCTTTATTTCTTTTATCTCTACTTTTATTTTTGTTTTCGTTTGTTTATCTGTCTCTGTCTGTCTCTGTCTCTCTCTCTCTCTGTCTCTCTGTCTCTCTTTCTTTCTCTCTTTATTATTATTATTATTATTATTATTATTATTTTTATTTATTTTTATCGCTGTCTCTTTTTGTTTTAATTTGTAATATTTAATTTGCCTTTAATTTATTTATTTTTTTGTCTCCGTCTCTGTCTCTTCTTTTCTTATTCTTTTTCTTTCTTTGTCTGTCTCTGTTTTTATTTGCTTTACTATTAATATTTCTCTTATCGTTATTTGTTTTACTATTATTATTATAATTAATAATCTGTTTGTTATTATTATTACAATACTAATAATAATAATTATTATTATTATAAGAATTGTATATAATAATATTACTATATTATAATTAAATTATGTTTACTACCAGTATAATAAACAAAAAATATATATATATATATATAAATATTATAATTAATATTTATAATATTGATATAAATATATATACATATATATATATATATATATTGTGTTTATACAGACAGTCGTCTTCGGCGTTTGTTTGATGTGTACGGCGAGCTATATGAAAGTCAAGAAAGTTATTATAAAGAGATAGAAAAAACAAAAGTAAAAGAGTTATATGCATTTAAACAGGGTGT